AAGAACGGCTATGTTTAGAAAGTGCATCTGGATGAATCACTGAAAGATCGGCTACGTTAGAAGTGCATCTGGATGAATCACTGAAACAACTGCTACGTTAGACATGCATCTGGATGAGTCACTGAAACAACTGCTACGTTAGACATGCATCTGGATGAGTCACTGAAACAACGACTATATTAGACATGCATTTGGATGAATACTGAAACAACTGCTACGTTAGACGTGCATCTGGATGAGTCACTGAAACAACGGCTATGTTAGACATGCATTTGGATGAATACTGAAACAACTGCTACGTTAGACGTGCATCTGGATGAGTCACTGAAACAACGGCTATGTTAGACGTGCATCTGGATGAATCACTGAAACAACGGCTATGTTAGAAGTGCATCTAGATGAATCACTGAAACAACGGCTATGTTATACTACGAATCTGGATAAATCGGAGTATGCCAGAAAGATTTGTAAAACTAAACAAATGTACTGAAGGCCGGCAAAGCGATTTGTTTAATTGCGCAGGAAGTGGCATGAAATTATATTGGAAGTATCCGTAGAAAACGACAGACATGTCTTACGGTTTAACTTATGGAACTATTGTAAAGTACACGAGTGTTCTCTAGACACAGAAAAAAAGGTTATTTTAGAAAACAATAATTAAAGTCGATGTGACCGCAAGTGTCGTCATACAAAACATTTCTCCGAGTGTTACAGCGTTGTCACAATCATGACAGTTACCCCCAACATACATTTAGTGTTATCACTTTTATTCTCAGAATGGTGGCATACGTTTTGGTTTTTCTGAACGAACATAAGTTTAATCATGATTAGTATGGATGCGAACATAACTTTAATCAATGTGGATGCGTCGACAGAGATATTGAGAAGACCTCTTCGTTTTAAAGGGATTGTAGGTCTCTATTTATTTTTTCTTAATTATTTCACTGCTATGGGAATATAAATGTTCCCATCCAGAGCACTGCCATGGATGTTTGGAATTATGAAGAAGGAATATTCCTCCTCCAAATTTCCCAAGGTTTGCTAATTTCAGATGAGTAATAAAACATTAAAACATGTATTTTAGGTTTTCATTGTGTACCTAAAAATAAAACCTGGATTGAAAAGTTGTTTACCTATAAAAGTGTCAAAGAAAGAGTTAAATAATAGAAACTCCAAAAACAGTTAGATATGATAATTCAAACATAAGGTTCTGTCCAGTTCAAAACAATTGCTAATACAGCTGCTGGCCGACAAGTGATTAACAATATATCATGTTCACAACTGCAGTAAGAACCCTACAACAGTAGTTCAGATAGACAGGTAGTGTTCCATAGGTAAGATATATTACTTATTTAAGGTTACTTTTATTTAAAATGTTGGTTATTTAGTATATCGAGTGTTATTATTTTTTATTTTCGTTTATTGTTTGCTATCATAATTTGATTATAAATATTGTTTTGCATTGTTATCTTAACATATGTATATTTAGGACTAACCTAAATTTCATAAGCTGGCCGAACTTCGTGAGATATTATTGGGTTTACGGCCAAAAATATCGTTAACAACAAGGATACTCTACTGGTGAAACAATGCATTATAATCTTTGTGAATATAAGCATAAAAAACTTAAATTTATTTAGTTTTACTGATTGCCGGTTTGATTTTTAGTTTCGTTCTAAGTACCTAGTTTTCTCGAAAGTTCATATTGACTGTAACTATAACCTGGTATTTTCACAGACAGACAGACATGAGAGCTCGAGCACAAAAGTTGCCTTGAACGCTATGAAAGTCCCGAAACAATTTCAGTTTGAGATTATCGCCACTAGGGGTTTAAACTTAAATTGTTGGTTTTGAAATAAAGAAAAACGTGAATTGTAAAAGCAAACAAGTCCCAAATTTTAAACAAGTTTGGGATGATTTGCAGAAATACTTCATAATGGCCATACTACATTTCCTGTTTAGTTCTTTCATATTGTGATCCTGGTGGGATATTTTATGTTTAGTTCTTGCGTATTATGATCCTCATGGGGACATTTCCCTCAAGGAACATTCCCCATTTAGTATCTTCACATTTCAGTTATCATTCGAACATATTCTTTCATACTTTGATCCTCAGGAAAACATTACCTATTTAAATTTTTATACTCCAGTCTTTGTGAAACATTACCTATTTAAGTCTTTCATAACGTGATTCTAGTGGAAACATTTCCCGTTTAAGTCTTTCATAACGTAGTCCTAGAGGAAACGTTTCACGTTTAAGTCTTTCATAACGTAATCCTGGTGGAAACATTTCCAGTTTAAGTCTTTCATAACGTAACCCTGGTGGAAACATTTCCCGTTTAAGTTTTTCATAACATAATCTTAGTGGAAACATTTCCCGTTTAAATTTTTCATAACGTAATCTTGGTGGAAACATTTCCAGTTTAAGTCTTTCATAACGTAATCCTGGTGGAAACATTTCCCAGTTTAAGTCTTTCATAACGTAATCCTGGTGGAAACATTTCCAGTTTAAGTCTTTCATAACGTAATCCTAATGGAAAAATTTCCCGTTTAAGTCTTTCATAACGTATTCTTGGCGGAAACATTTTCCGTTTGCGACTTTTTTTGCAGAACAGATAAGCAATGGCGAGAAAAGTAAGTCAATAAAACTAAGGCATTCGCTGTGATGTTTGGGTATGATTATTCATCGTTTAGATATACGCTATCTTACCACACATAAACGTTTTCTTCATTATCTGTTCCGACAAAAAAAAAAAAATCGCTTCCCGTTTAAGTTTTTCATAACGTAATCTTAATGGAAACATTTCACGTTTAAGTTTTTCATAACGTAATCTTAATGGAAACATTTCCCGTTTAAGTTTTTCATAACGTAATCTTAATGGAAACATTTCCCGTTTTGATCACATGATTTACAAAGAAGTTCTTAGACCGATGTTGTTTGTTAGAAAGAATAAGTTCTTAGAAGTTTTAGTCAATGGGTGGAATATGGGTCACCTGTTCCGCACTGGAGAACATTAAGTTAAACCTGTTTTGTTTGACATAAGAAAAGCTCAGAGCACGACTGAAAACAACACATTTTATATGTGCTTAACGAGACACAAAGAGAAATAATGATATGATGTGTTTTTCCTGATACACAGATGAACATGGTTAGATTAAGTATCATTAAAGCAAGAGGAAGTATAATTATAAATGTTTGTCACAGAACACACAACATGAAACATGTCTACTTTATCCAAAATTTATATGAAATGTCATCAGTGAAATCAATATTGCATTTTTGGTCACATTTATTCAAACAAAAAATAGTTGTTACCTAATATTTGTATTTACTTTATTTTGTAGGTTCGGACACGTGCATGAATAGTACAGAAATTCACAAACATGGATCAATACATCTATGCGAGAGATATTTGTATTTTAAACATTTCTAACAAAACTGAAAAACCATTACGTACCGTCTTTGGTTCATGTGCAGTGAGCTCCATAGATTTCTTTTTCTCTACAACACAGTTGACTCTAGCTTTATGATTCTTCTTGATCATCCGCTAGGGGAAGTAAAATATCTATTTGGTCTCATTTGTTCAAAGAAATGTAAGAACCGAAACAGGGAGCAACTAGCTGATCAATGAATCCAGTCTAGTTATTGAAAGTTAAGCTATACAATTGTTGATGGATTACAACAACTGAAACATAATTAATATTGAGAGTAACTAGCTGATCAATGAATCCAGTCTAGTTATTGAAAGTTAAGTTATACATTTGTTGATGGATTACAAGAACTGAAACACAGTTAATATTGAAAGTAACTAGCTGACAAATAGATCCACTTTAGTTATTTGTAAGTTATACAGCTGTTGGTGGATTGTTAGAACTGAAACACAGTTGATATTGAAATTAACTAGCTGATAAATAGATTTATTTTACTCATCTGTAAGTTATACAACTGTTAGAACTGAAACACAGTTAATATTGAAAGCAACTAGCTGACAAATAGATCCACTTTAGTTACTTGTAAGTTATACAGCTGTTGGTGGATTGTTAGAACTGAAACACAGTTCATAGTGAAAGTAACTAGCTGATAAATGGATCCAGTCTAGTTATTTAAAGTTAACTTATACGACTGTTAATAGATTAAGTACAAGTAAACCAGTGATTATTTAATTATCAATAACTGAAGTAATAAAATTACCCCCTTGAGCTGTAATAAATACGTAAGGAGTTCACTTGTTTCAAGTGAGGATATTCATATTTATTAATGCCTCGTAGCACCTTAAAGAACGATTTAAAAATTAGGGAACAAAAAATAAAACAATGTGAATTGAATACAGTTTTTGTCCTCTCATCATATGAAGTTCACATAATAAAAAATCTAAATTTTTATTTGAATAGATGCCCCAGAAGTCTTCTAAATATTTACAATATCTTTAAGAATACTCACTCCAGTGTCTCCATCAAGATGAAGGCGAAGAGGAATGGCCGTCATCTTTTTAGAAGGGATTGGTTGACTGTCAACAGCCAGAAGAGGATCCGGATCATAACGCTTTATTTCAGATTGATGCTGAACACTTTCTAGAGGAACTTGCTGCGGGATCTGATGGATTGTGTTAAATTCATTAACGAAAAGTCCAACATGTTACCATGAACACGAAAGATTCATATAACCTAAGCTAAATATTTTGATGAGTGTACAATTATCATTTATATTTCATTCCTTGCACACTCAAAGGAATGAAAATTCTCTAGTGTTAAAAAATATTTAAATTTTATAACTGCCCTTAGAGTGCGCTCTTGCACTTAGTAATTTTTTTTTTTCACATTTTACTTGGGGCAATAACGAAAAACAAAATATAAAAATAAACGTCTGAATTATTATCCTAATGAATATAAATATCCCCAAAATATTCTTTGGGAACCAGTAATTGTGGAATTATGTAAAGTGTGTATTTATAGATGAGGTGATAATCCACAAAATGTACAGACAAATTAAATATCTTCCCAACGACTATTAGAATTTCAGCCAGATCTTTGTATGAAGTAATTTCTTACACTTTTATTCTCCGGTGGACCAGCGGTAAGTTTACAAACTTACATCGCTTCAAATCCGAGGTTCGATTCTCCGTGGTGGACAGTGTACAAGTAGTTCATTGTGTAACTTTGCACTGAGGAAACAACACCATCATATAAGTTTACTTATACCAATATAAAGTTAGGAATAAAACAAAACCATTGTGATCAAGTGTTTAAAATTAGTGAAGACTATGCCTAAACCTAGAGGTCTCTGGTGTGGCCCTTTAGTCTACGTACGCATAAGGTAGCGTTCAAGTTGAAAATTTCAATTTCATTCAGAAGGCTCAGGTTTTGTGTAAGTACTTGTCTATTTCTATACTTTGATGGGCATTTAAGATATGTGAAAGATAAAAACAGTTTGCATATTATACAAACTTACAAGTCTACAGCGGAGTTTTCTTAAAATGTAAAAAATTCTTTATAAGAAGTGTATTTTTCAATTACAAAAGCATTTAAAGAAAAAATATATATTATATTTTCATAAAAATAAAAAAAAAATCGGTCGACTTTCAAGATCATTATAATAGTATGAAAGAAGCAAAACTTATCATAAAAATACTTACATTTTCAAACTCGCACTCACACTTGGATTGATGAAGTCGTATGTAACATCCCAATAAGACAAACACACCAATCAGAAATGTTATCATTATCAAGGTAAAAGACACTGTCCTGGCGATCTTCAGGGCAGAAGTATTCCGTTTTGGATAAGCCTAAAAAAGTAATAAATTATCAATGTAAATTGTAATTGAATACAATTTATTAGTATCAATACATTGACCTTTTCTTGTGTACATCTTATGGAAAATTTAGAACGACCAGGATTCGACCCCACAGCGTTTGCTTGCCAATTTCCATCTTAAATAAATTGTGTAGATTTACTCGACAAACGGAGCGTGAGATCAAATCTTGTTCGGCCTCACCTGGATAACGAGTTAATAATTCTAGCAATCTTACGAAGATAATGCAAATTACTCAAGTCAGGTTGTACGTTTATTTCGTGCCACACAAGAATAAATTTTAATTAGATTAAAAAAAACTTTTAGCTTTCTGGTTTACAGAGTCAGGAAATACTTGCCCTGGTGAAATTTTTGGTAACGAAATTTGCTTTTAATTTGGTAGACCATTTTAAAGAAACCTGTCACAATATTCCTTCTGATATAATGTTACTTATAGAAGTTTTATAAAACCTATTAAAATACTCCTACTGATATAACATTATTTATAGCAGTGTTTGAGAAACCTGTTAAAATACTCCTACTGATATAACGTTACTTATAACAAGTGGTCGTTTTTTATAAAACTTAACAGTGTTTAAGAAACTTGTTAAAATTTTCGTATTGATATAACGTTACTTTTAGTGATGGATCATATCTTATTGGAAAATAACAGTTTTTGAGAAAAAAAATTTTCGGTTTCGAATGGAATCCATATCATAACAATTTTCTTTGGTAAAACATTATTCTGTGGTATAATTTTTGACTGCGTAGATCTATGGTATTTTATTTCAAAGTTGGCTTGGATATTTCAGTTAAAAACAACAAGGTGTGCTCCAGTTCTAAATACGGATGTCAATTTATAAATCAAAACACCAGGGTGTGCTCAAATTGTAAATACGTATGTCAATTTATAAACCAAAACACCAGGGTGTGCTCAGGTTCTAAATACGGATGTCAAATTATAAGTCAAAACACCGGAGTGTGCTCAAGTTCTAAATACGAATGTTAGGTTATAAACCAAAACACCAGGGTGTGCTCTAGTTCTAAATACGAATGTCAAGTTATAAGTCAAAACATCAGGGTGTGCTCTAGTTCTAAATACGGATGTCAATTTATAAACCAAAACACCAGGGTGTGCTGAGGTTCTAAATACGGATGTCAAATTATAAGTCAAAACACCAGGGTGTGCTCTAGTTCTAAATACCGATGTCAAGTTATAAGTCAAAACACCAGGGTGTGCTCTAGTTCTAAATACCGATGTCAAGTTATAA